CCTGAGCCGGTTCCATAACTTGGTTACTGAAATTGTGCTGCTATAAACATTGCTATGCATATATCACTATGGTATGATGACTTGAGTTCTTTTAGAGAAATACTGAGGAATGGTATTGTTGTGGGGCAGGTCGCTCAGAAAATACATCAACTCCCAGCTCATCCAAATTGAAGAGTCTTTATTTATGTGGCTGGCTGGAGACTGGCCCCCACAGGACCCATAACTGTCTCTGCAAGGAACAGCTTCAGCCTGAGTATTTTAGGATATTTAAAGGCAAAAACCGTATCTGGTCTGACACAGCTGCAAGCAAGCCGGTACAGAAGCTAAATTGGGCAGTTAGCGAGACAATGCAGTAGGCACCTTGGTATTTCCCACGGGATTTTCCAGGTTGGCACAGCAGCAAGCAAGCAGAAGGAAAGTGGGTCAAAATGACCCTAGTTCAGTACACGTTAGAGAATGGTTACTAATTTCTACACGATCAGTCTCTGACAAGGTACATTGCCCAAGAAAAATGGAAACCAAAGAGAACAATTTCACATTATATAAGAATCGCTCATTTGTGTTGCCAAGTATGTTGTGCTAGGTAACTATTAATGCGTACAGAGGTGGGGCTTTCCCACAGGAGAAGCATTTCTTACATGATATGGAGTCTCAGGGTAAAATGGAGTCTGTTTGGTCATTGCCTGTATAGCCGGCCCATAACAGTATAATTGGGTCATATATTGGTTCCATTCCTAGTCTTTAAAAGAACTTCCACACTGATCTCCACAGTGGTTATACTAATTTACAATTCCTCAAACACTGCTTAAATGTTCTTTTCCCCCAACATCCTCACCAACATTTATTATATGTATTCTTGATGTTTGCCATTCTAACTAGAGGGTAAACCTTTAATAAAGCTCTTTATTTTGGCAAAAACCCAGTGCCATAGTATTGGCTTTCATGTGAGTCAGGCAGTGAGCCCTGACTCAGTATCAGTCGTCTAACCTGAGACTTGTTTGTCTATTAAACATCTTCTGAGCACTTACAAGGTACCACCTGCCATGTACCACGTCCAGGAAATACAGAAGAATGATATAAGCTAGAGACTCCCACAGGCTCTTCTTCATAAGGCCTCAACAGAGGAGGACAATAAGCATGCTGTCTCAAGATGATTTGTGGTTAAGGTGAGTGCTACGGAGGAAAAGAATAGGTGACAGAGAGAGAGACTGCTTCAGCTGGCTTACAAGTCAGAACCCAGCTGAGTTCAGGAATCATAAATATATAACGACAGGAGCTTCATGGATTTGTGATTTTCCCCATCAGTGCTCAGTAACCCTGGAGAAGGTTCAAAACAGGCAGAGAGTCAAACTCCTGCAACAGAAGGATGGTTGAACTGCGGAATTCAAGATGCAGGGAAGGGTCGTTGAAGTTCTGGACCATGGAATCCAAGTGCAACAGTAAAGCAGTGAAGGCAGGTTGGGCTAAGGTACACCAAGAAAATGGAAAAGTCAAACTGCAGATCTCAATGAGGCAGGAGAAAAAGGGCAGAGACAACTGGGGAACAGAACTGGAGGGAGAGATGGAGAAGTAGGTAGGATATGGTCAGAGCAAAATGTTCAAATTTTATTGTTCACATTAAAAAAAAAAAAATCCTGAAAGTAGCTATAGCACCAGGTGGACAAAATGTTCTAGTAGTAAAAGGCAAGGTAGATTAAAAATCCCCAGGAGCAAGACTCTGACTCACACCATGATGCACAATTTGGAACACTCCCCACAGGTTGTCACAGACCTGCTTGACTGTTGTTTTTCCTCATAGAGACTACAGACCCATCATGCCACTTGGTGCCTGATTCTAGAGGCAGCTTCTTTCTTTTTTTTCAGGTCACCTGCTTGAACTGAGTATGGGACCACAACCACACCTGTCTGGTGTCTGCTTGGATTAGCAGCAAGTCCCAGATTCCCTGGCTAGAACGTGCTCCTTGACCCTCTGGGCAGAGAGCTTTCTACAGCTCTGGCAGCTCTTCTGCAAGAGAAGAACAACTCTCTCCAGAACCTTCCCCTCTCCAGCTGCCTCACAGATCTTGCCTCTCTTCTCATTTGCTCTTCAATAGCCTCTCTACAGAACAGATTTGAAGCATTAAAAGAAATTGTAGGTGTAGTTTTCTCCTTTCAATTTCTTACAAATCATTCTCTCTCCCAGATTCGCCCACACCAACAAAAGGAGGATGTGAGAGGATTTCAAAAATAATTGCAGAAGCTATTTTGGAACCTCATTAAGCAATGAGGGCTGGCATAAAATCTGTTCTGGCTACTATTTCCCCCCAAGGATTGGTAACATATAGCTCTTTTCTCATCTTGAATTTTTTTTTTTTTAAACAGAGCTAAGGGGAAACCCTACCTGTTTTGTTTTGCAGAGATTTTCACCTTTCTCCAAGCAGGGGTTAGTATACATGTGGGTCCGGGTATTTAAATGTTAATGCTGTGTTGGGAGGATGAAGTGCCAATATTATTGTCTGCCTGTCAGGTGATCTGAAAAGCCCATGAGGAGAAGATAGAAAGAGACTATTCCAGCATAGGGCAACCAAGGCAGAGCCACAGTGACAAGAACAACTGGAGCAATACAGCACCTTACAGGCATGGACTCCACAGGGACTCCACGGCCACACTGCCCACGACTGTGGCCATAGCCAGTCATGGCTCTCATGTAGAACTGAATGTGCAGCTGAAGGGTTGAATATGACATTGTATTTAATTCAAAATTAAAACACATAGTTCATTTACCGGAAAATAAATATGATTGAAATGATGAATATATAAACCTACATCTTTAGCTGTAAATTTTGTGAAATGTAAACACAGATTAAGTATTTCTGATTAAATTTCATCATCAGAATTGAGACTAAAATATACAACATGTTTTGAAGATTTAGCACAAAAAAAATGTAAAATGCATTATTAATAATTTTGTGGTGATTGCATGTTGAAGTGATAACATTTTAGGTACAGAGTGTAATCAAACATTTTAAATTGACTTTGTTTGTTTTTACTTTTTTAATGTATCGACTAGAAAATTCACAATTGCATGTGTGCTCACAATATATTTCTGTTGAATAGTACTTTTCCAGAGCATGGACTACATGGGTTCACAATCTCAACCAATTTCTAGCTATGAAATAAGCTGAAATATATTTTCTTGGCCTGTTATTTTTTTAAAAAAAATGTCCAATAGTATCTACTCCATAGAATTAATGTGAAGTATAAGTGAATTATGAGTAATGCATATAATTAAAGAATAATCCATAGAACCTAGTGCACTCATTATATGCTACTATTATATTATTCTGTTTATAGTTGCATTGGTGAGGGGACAGCAAGATGCTAGATGAGAAAATGATATGTCAGAAAGAAAGAACTTTTCAGTCTGGGTGTGGTGGCTTAGGCCTATAATCCCAGCAGTTATGGAGGCTGAGGCAGGAGAATCATGAGTTCAAAGCCAGACTCAGCAACTTAGTGAGACCTCTCTCTAAATAAAATATAGGGCCGAGGGGCAGGGCTGGGGATGTAGCTCAGTGGTCAAGCACCTCTGGGCTCAAACCCCAGTACCAAAAACAAAACACAAACAAACAAAACCCCTTCTCTTTTTTATGGAAGGTTCGTACCAAACATCCTCTTGGATCTGAATGAAAAATACCTAAACCTTGCTCCCAGGGTGGCCCTCGTATATTAGGACTCCAATGACATCTTCTCACATTCTGTGGGTCAAAAAGCTCTCTGTCATGTCCATACTTCTCACAAGAGTCCAAAGGTAGAGCTAATGAAGAAGTACCCCCAATTTAATTTAGAAAGGAGCATTAATAAAGATGCGGCACTGAGCCAGAAGTGTGAAGTTGTTCTGCCACTGAAGGTCATCAGTATCTTGGGGCTCTGTTACTCCACCAATTAAATAGGAATAACAGAAGGTGCTATCAGGAGGATTAAATAAGGCAGTAGGACAGAGAGAGCTCTGCAAACTACATAGCACTCTGCCAATGTCAATGCCTTCTACTTTTAGAAGCATTGTAGGAATAGCTTTCCTCCCAGATAAAACATGCTGTTGTTTCTGTGGGATTTTATAATTTAAGTCAAATTATTCCATCTTTATATCAATCTAAATTTCCTCCAAATTGTTCTGCTATTGTTTGGATATGAGATATCCCCCAAAAGCTCTTGTGTTAATGCAGGAGGTGCAATGATTAGATTTTGAGAACTGGAACCTCATTGGTAGACGGATCCATTTAATGGATAATTAATTTGAATAAACGAATTGGGTGGTAACTAGGGCAGGTGAGGAATGAATGGCTGGAGGAAGTCCCTGGGGGTGTAATCTTGAGGTTCATATTCTACCCTGGCTCCTTGGGAACGCGCTCTCTGTTCCCGGCTGCCGTGAGCCGTGTGGCTTTCCCCCACTATGCCCTTTCACTGTGATGCTCTGCCTCATCTGAGACCCAAAGCAATGGCATCACTAACCATGGACTGAACCTCTGAAACCATGAGCCGCTATAAACGTTTCCTTCTCTAAGCTGTTCTTTTCGGGTATTTTGACTACAGCACTGAAAATCTAATACATGGTCTTATAATAAAATATTGAAATCCTATGCTATAACATTTCAGATACTCCTTTAGAAAATAAAAATGCAAAAGATATCCACTCACTTGAAGGATAAACTAGTAAAATTACTATAGGCTATTAACATTTCAGCTCTTTATACCTAGCCAGGCACTTGGAAAGTCTTTGAGGAAGTGGGTCAAATATCATGAAAATTTTCACTAGTTCTTACACTCATTCATTCAACAAATATATATGGCCAAGGAGATTACTGAAACAAGGGAGATTAGGATGTAGGGGGAAGTGGATGACTTGACTTAAATTAGGTAGTCAGACTGTGCTTCATTGAGAAGGTAACGTTTAAGCAAAGATGTCAAGGATCTGATTAGGTAGGTATCTGGAAAGAGCATTACAGAAATACAAAACAACTTACATGAAAACTCCAAGCAGCGGCACACCCAAGACATCAAGGAACCATAGAGAACCTGCTGTGGTTGCAGAAGAGTAAGAGTAAGACCTTCTCCGGCTTCCGGCTTTAACTCTGAAGCAAATGAGAAGTCACACCTAGTCAATCTGCATTCAGAAACTGTCAAGTGGTCAGACAGAAAAATCCTTAAGAAAGGGTTATATGCAAGAAAGCAGTGTGCTGTGTGGGTGAAAATGGGTAGAGTTTAGATTTTTTTAAAGTTATTAAATACTTGATAGTTCCTCCAATCTGGATTCCAAAAGCCTCTACTTTTCCTTCCATACAGATTGTATGGCAGGTTTACTCAACATATGGGTGGAACCGACCACATATGACACATTTGGTCAACTTGCTGGCTCATGAAATCAAGGAAGGATGAACCAGTAGCAACATCCAAGAAGAGAATACCCTTTAGTTCTTCAGAAGAGGAACAGGGAGAGTGACTATGGATCTTTAATTGAGGCAAAATATATACCACATAAAATTTATATATCACATAATATTATTTTAGCCATTGGCAGCACTAAGCATGACATATTCACAATTCTGTGTGTTCACCATTACTGTTTATTCCCAGAATGTCTCATCACTCCCAACTCCCTTGCATTTTAATGTTCATTCTGACCCTTTCCTTACCTCTCCCTTACACTTACCCAGTATGGTCCATGAGGACCACATGGCTGACAAACTTCTGATCTGGATTTGGTGGCACCTCAGTGTCACCAAATACAACTCCTATTAATCTTCACTTTCTTTTTCTAAAACCTCCTATATGGTCTCAATGTGCCCAGTTTACAAGCAAACACAAAGAGAGAAAGATAAAACAAAGCAGTTCCTATATTCCCCATGCTTTCTGATAAATAGTAAATACCACGTAACACAGTACTAACCAAGCAAGTTGGCAGGGTGGGTCTTACAGGAAACTTTGTGAAAGGTGGGGTGGAGGCAAAAAAGTCATCCTTCATCTACATTTTTGCATATCTACTTCTACTGCCTTGAAGAGAAGGTGAGAATGGCATTGAGAGAGCCATTTACAGTCCTGGGCTGTAAAGCACACACGAAGTATTACTGAGTAGATAGAAGTATCTATTCCAGATCTGAAAAATTTTGCAAAGCTATTGTACTAAGCCTGGGTGTTTTACATGTAAGAAAAAATGAAACATTAGATCAAATGACTGTTTAAGCCAATGCTTTTGCTGTTGCTTCCTGTTCACTCAAGTCTGTTACTGTCCAGTGAATACAAGTCATAACTGCCACGGGCCCCCTTCATCCTTGGTTCTCCCCAACCCGCCTCTCCTCCCTGACACACTCGCCCACACCAGCAGGAAGAACAGCTTTGCCTTTGAACTCTAGCTGTCAATCAGGTTCCTCCCATCTCTAGGAAGCTCCTTATACCTTTTCTTTCTGTAGAGTGTTACATCCTCTGGAATCGGTTTGGAAGCTGCAGAAAGTTATGCTTTTTATGGTGAAAAGAAATACCACCAAAAGTTCTTCCTCCTGAGGATTGAGCCATCTCCTCCCTTAGACTTCAGAAGAAAGATGAGATACATGAAAGACAACGCAGAAAAGCAACAAAGTGTCATGCATAAGTAAGTACCCACTTTGTTTGATGGTCCCTTTAACCAGATGCCCACAAAGTACTTTTCTTTAGCAGCCAAATATCTTTTAGGCATAAAAATCCCTAATACCGGGCTGGGGATGTGGCTCAAGCGGTGACGCACTCGCCTGGCATGCGCGGGGCACTGGGTTCGATCCTCAGCACCACATAGAAAATAGAATGAAGATGTTGTGTCCACCGAAAACTGAAGAATAAATATTTTTTTAAAAATTCTCTCTCTAAAGAGGGGAGGGGAGGGGAGGGGAGGGGGGATAGTAGAGGATAGGAAAGGCAGCAGAACACAACAGACACTAGTATGGCAATATGTAAATCAATGGATGTGTAACTGATGTGATTCTGCAATCTGTATATGGGGTAAAAATGGGAGCTCATAACCCACTTGAATCAAATTGTGAAATATGATATATCAAGAACTATGTAATGTTTTGAACAGCCAACAATAAAAAATTTAAAAAAAAAAATTCTCTCTCTAAATTGGGAGTTCATAACCAACTTGAATCTAATGTATGAAATATGATATATCAATAGCTTTATAATGTTTTGAACAACCAATAAAAAAATAAATTAAAAAAATAAATAAATAAATAAAAATAATAAAAATTCTCTCTCTCTCTCTGTCTCTCTTTAAAAAAAAAAAAATCCATAATACCTAATGCTTCTAAAAGTAAGCAAGTGCAGAGAAATCAAAGCAACACTGCTCCTCCTCCATGACAGAATAAGAGTACATTAGATGAGGCACAGATAATGCCATCAGGAAACATTACCAAAGACATTGAAATTAATTAAATTATGTTAGTCATTGTTTTAGCCAAGTTAAAAACAAAAAATAGATCGATTGGGATTCTGATAACTTGCAGGACATCCTGGAAAGCAATTCATATGGCATGTTAAGTCGTAATGAATAGTTATAATTTTGACATAATAAAATTGCACTCAAGGGATATAGCTTGTGAAACAGAGAAGATGTTCACATTACAGTTAAGTATAAAGAAAATGTGAAATGTTAATTTTTTTCTATTTAATATTATATCAAATATATTTAATATTATATTATTTTTTCTATTTAATATTTATATCTAATATATTCTATTTTTTTTCTTTTTTTCTATTTATGATAGAAAAATTAAAAGTAAAGAGTCCTAATTCAATAAATAGTAAAGCAACTTGCTAGATTCCTTACGAAGCACTGAGATACAGTTCAGAAAGGGCAAATAAACGCCATGCTTGAATGGGACTTAGAATCTAGTGGGAAAAACAAATAAAAAGAGAGGTTAAGTGGTGATAATATCAATGAGAAAAGAAAGACAGGGAAAATAACTAAGACAAAATGATGGAGTCTGGAATTGAATTTAGGTCATTTGAACTGATAGTTTCCTTAATGTTTTACCAACTTGCTTCAAACAGATCTCCAAAGACTCAAGAAATGCACTGAGATCTACTACTCTAAACTGTCCATGGGGTGGGGAAAATTGTTATGTAGGAGTTATGAAGAGGAGAGTGCTTCAAGCACTTGTCCAAGAGGGCAGGTAACTTTGCTAAGCCATGGAACCTACCTGACACTGACCAGCTTCTAGGACAAAGGTCAACATAGAGCCTGGGACCCTCCCTTCAGCCTCTTCTCTGATCTCTGAGCAGGTGGCTCAGACTAAGACCATGAACCTACTTTTACACAAACCCTATCTCTATCTCAGGAGCTATTCTATGGCATCTTACTGTGAGATCAAGAATCTGAGCTGCCACCAAACTTGGGTGTATAGCCATATGTTTATGTTTATATTAGAAGCACCATTTGTGCACAAAAGGTTTAAATTCTTTGTTCGCTTAGTCCTTCTCACTGTGCCCTTACTATATACCAACTCTGTTGTACTCAAAAGTGCCATTTTTAAAACTATGCATATTTCCATAGTTTTTAATGTAGCCCAGCTACTAACTTCAGATGCAGCTGTTTCCAACTTTGAGCGAATTATCTAGGATGGCAAAGATAAATGTAAAGTATATCTTAGAGCAATAGTCAACCTACTGCCAGACCAAGAGAAGCTGCTTGACTAAGAGTAATCTGTTACCTTGATCAACTTTGCTGCCTCAAACCTGTTCACGTAAAATCAAAAAATTAAAAGGACACCATGTCTCTCCCCCAATTCCTGCCCCTCCAGATTAAAGAAATGGAGCCTGTACCAAGCAGAATACTCTGGTAAAGCCCTTCAACAGATAAATATTGCTTTTTCCCTGGAGAAAGCATCATCTGTTCACATTGCTCTTTCTTTTCACACAGGTTCAGAAATTATAGCATCTAGAAAGCATTGAGAAGAGTTGGGGGTTGGGAGGGTGACGGACCCTTGGGGTCACACTCAGTTTCCCACCTAGGGAACCAGAGGTCCTCACCATAGAGTGTTTCGGCAGTGAGAGAGGCAGGTAGAATTTTGACAGCAACTCTCACTGGGGATGGTTCTCTTGTAATCTGGTAGTTAGCATCTACAATAAACAGCAGGACAAGGCTCAGCCCAGTTAGCAACAAAGTCACGCTCCTTAAACACGAGATCACAACAGTCACCACAGTGAGATCAGGTACAACTGGGCATGTTACTCTGCTCTTCAATGTCAGGTTGGACTGATGATCATTCTAATAGAAAAGTAGGCAGGAAATGAGGCCAAGGACAGCCCAGATCTCTCTGGAATATGCTGGCTAGGTAGAGAATTCTCCTTTTTTGAAGAGGCCAAAACAACCTGGCACAGGGCCTAATAAGATGCATTACAGAATAAAGCAAAAGAGACCTTGCTGTGTTTGGGAGCTAGATACAGGTGGTCCTTCTACAACACTGTGAATGTTCTAACTACCACAGAATTGTTCAGTCTGAAGTGGTTAGTTTTGTTATATGTAAAGAATATCTTAGAGCACTAGTCAACCTATTGCCAGACTATGAGAAGCTACTTGATTAAGAGTAATCTATTACCTTGATCAACTTTGCTCAGACTAAGACCATGATCCTACTTCTACATAAACCCTATCTCTATCTCTGAAATGGAAAAAAATATATAATGCGTGTTCCTCATTTGGAAATGGAAAACTTGCTCCTAAAAATTTACTTAAAAAGTGCTACACCTGGAAGCAATTTCTGGCTTTAAGAAAATAACATGTCCCCACAAAATTCATGACATAAGATATATCTCTATATGTGTGTGTATTTACATATATATAAATTATACATGTATAGTATGTTAATGCAAGTATGAATATGTCACAATGAATCCTACTATTATATATAATTATAATGCACCAATAAAAATCATTTAAAAAGATTACTACTAATATATTTTCAAAAGAGGAAAGCAAACATAGAAAAATAAATATAATATGAAAATAAACAAGATAGTAACACATAATCCAAATGTATCAATTATCCCAGTACATGTAAACTAAACTCACAAGTTAAAACAGACAGACTGCATTAAAACACATTGCAGTTTTTGTGCTATTTATGAAAGATAGACCTAAAGCATAAAAATACTGAAGAGCTGAAAAGGAAAAAAAATGTGAAGATATATTATATCAGTCAGATGATAACTGCAAACAGCTAGCACAGCTATATTAATATTAGTCAGAGAAGACTTTAAGACAAATAGCATCATTAAGGACAGAGTTGCTATACAATGATTAAATGTTAAAGTCACCAAAGCAAAATAACAATTCTAAACATGTATGCACCTCATTAAATAGACTCAACAGAAATAAATAAAAATAGATGGACCTCCATGAACAAATTGATAAATCTGCTATGATAGTGAAGAGACTATAGAACACTTATTTCAATAACTTATGATTCAAGCAGCTAAAAAAAATGTAGAAAAAAACATAGTGAAGTTGAACAACACAATTATCGACTCTGACCAAACGGAATACTTAAAAAATATTTTTAATATATTCAATAGGTATAGAAAAGATATCTCAACAAACTTCATGGAACATTCAGCTAAGAATCTAATTTGTTCTCTTAACCTTAGGAAATTTAACTATGGCTACAGGAATAGTGGAGTCCAATGTTGAATGAACTGAAATATATTTTCTGACATAATCAATTGAAGGAAATATAAATTAAAATATGTAATAGAAAAAAATGCAAAAGTCATATCTAAGTTTTGGAATGAAATTTTACCTACTAGTTTTTTTTTTAAACTACAAGAATACTGTACAATAGAGTTTTGTACTCTGATGTTTTTAACCTAATGTTATATCATAGATGTTTTGTCATGCCATTATTCTTATCTTTCATCTAGGAACAGCTCTCCAGCTCCTAAGTTTCTCTCTCCTTCAGCCAGAAGTCAAAAGCCCTCTTCTAAATATAAAGTCCTATCAATAAGACACCTGCAGACCAACACACCCAGAACATCAGAATTCCTTTTAGACTCCGTCTGGGTCAACCCCCTGAACAATGTATTTTCATTCCTACTGCAGCCAAATGCATTTTCTTTTGTTAAGATCTCAGTTGCAGTAAAATAAAAGATGACTTCTGTTCCTTCAATCAACTGAAGTTTAGAATCAGACTGGCTACAGCTTTCTCTTTTCTGGGATATAGTCAATAGTCTTTCCACCACGGAAATCCATACCTACTACTTCTGATTAGCAACTAGAGCTACCCAGAGCTTTTTCTAGAAAACTTCCCTCGGGCCTTACCTCTCTGCAATCTCTTTGCACAGCAGCTCGGTCCTTAAGTCAGAGTTTCAGAGATGAGTAGGCATCTTACCCAGTAGAACCATACCTCGGATAGAGCTCATCACTCACTCATTAATGGCGGGACCTGAGGAGAGGTTTTGATAAATTACAAGGAAGAAGTGCCATTGGCTACTTTTGCTTGGAAGCTTGACAGCACTTATTCAACTGAGCGCCAAACACTGGGAAAGGGCCCAGTTGTTACGGGATTTAAAGACTCCACCCCAACAAAGTTCATTGCTTTCTGTTTCCTTTTTCACATAAGCCTGAACAATTTTTCTAATAACTCGAGATCTTGGCCAAAGAGGGAAGTGAAAGCCAAAAGCTCTTTTTTTTAAATTTTGTATCTGTTATGTTTTAGATATGAGGTGTCCCCCAAAAATACTCATGTGTGAGACAATGCAAAATGTTCAGAGGTGATGTGATTAGATTATGAGAGTTTCAATCTAATCAGTGGTCTAATCCAATGATGTGGATCAACTGGGCACGTAGAGTGTGGCTGGAGGATGTGGGTCCCTGGGGGCTCACCTTTGGGGTTTACATGTTGTGCCTCTGCTGATTACTATGTCCTGAGCTGCTTTCCTCCTCCATGCCCTTCCACCATGACGCTGTGCCTCACCTAGGGTCCAGAGCTATGGAGCCAACTGACTATGAACTGAACCTCTGAAACCATGAGCTAAATAAACTTTTGCTTCTCTATTTGGTTCTTGTCAGGTCTTTGGGTCCAGTAATTAAAAAAAAAAAAAGAACTGACTAAAACAATAATTCCATGTTTCAAAGGAGTTTCAGAGTAGTGGAAAAAAAGAGAATGCAGTGGTCCCCTTATTTGAAGCCTTGCTCTCCTGGTTTCAGGCACCTTCAGTCAACCATTAACTTGTATCTACCCCCAGAAGATGGGCAAGTACAGTACAAGTAGAAATCCTGAGAAAGAGAACATATTCCCATAACCCTGATTTCAATGTATTGTCATGACTATTTTATTTTATGACTAGCTATTGTCTTCATTAGCTTTGCAGCACTGTGACCAAAATGCCTGATAAGAACAACTGAAAGGAGAAAAAAAATTGACTTAGGGCTCACCGTTTCAGAGGTCTGAGTTCATGGGTGGCTGAGTTCATTGCTCTGGGCCCCAGGTGAGGCAGAACTTCATGAAGAAGGGGATGGCAGAGGGAAGTGCTCATCTCATGGCATCCAGGAGGCAGAGAGAAAGAGAAGTGAAAAGCAACCAGAGGGAAGATGCACCCTTCCAGGGCACATCCCCAGTGACCCACCTTCCCCAGGAACACTCCACCTGCCTACAGTTACCACCCAGTTCATTCAAAGTCGGATGGACTGATCAGGTCATAGCTTTCCCAGTCCAATCCTTTCACCTCTGAATATTCCTGCATCAACATAGGAGCTTTTGGGGGACACCTCATATCCAAAGCAGAACAGTTATTATGGTTAATCTATTATCATGCCTAATTCATAAATTAAACTTTATCGTAGCTGTGCAAATATAGGAAAACAAAAAAAATGTAGTTTATTGAGGGTTCAGTATAATTTGAAATTTCAGGCATACAATCAGGGGTCTTGGAAAATATCTTTATGGGTAAGGGGGAATAACAACTGCATAATGGGAATTCAAGTTAAAGCTAAGAAAACATCCCAAACAGATGGTCAGTATGAGAGACTATGCTAAGTCCAAGTATCAGCCACTAGAATGGAAAAATACATGAGCATAAAGGGTTTAAAATGGAGGAGGGAAATTGAGCCTGGGAGAAGGTAGAAGCCTGGGTTAATAGAACCACAATGGCCTTGGGTTTGGTAGGAAAGGGTTCAATAAAACCAATAAAGTGACCAGTTCTGCTTAGAGAAGGCCTAAAAACCGCAAGTCTTCCAGACTGAAAGGTATTAGCCAAGTGCAGTGGCAAACACCTGTAATCCCAGTGGCGGGGGAAGCTGAGGCAATAGGACCTTGGATCTCAAGTTCAAAGCCAGCCTCAGCAACTCAGCAAGGCCCTAAGCAACTCAATGAGACTCTGTCTCAACATAAAATGTAAAAAAGGGTTGGGGACATGGCTCAGTGGTTGAGATCTCTGGGTTCAATCTCAGTAGCAAAACACACACACACACAAAATAATAACAACAAAAACAGACTCAAAGGTATTAAGTACACCTTATGAAACTGTAAAAAGTTCCCTGGATGCTGCAGGGAGAAAATTTAAAAAGGAAGAAGTATGGAAAGTTCTTTTAAAAATGCAGAAAGAGAAAGAGATAGATGAATTTAAAAAAAATAGAAATTGGATTTGACTTTAAAGTTACTTTTTGGGGGACTTTCGTGACAGTCATTTCAGGAATAAATTAGAATAATAAGCAAGTGGCCAGAAAAATGGCAATAATTTGCATAGACTGTAGTTAAGAGAAATTTAGCTGTCAAGGGAAGAACACAGGTAAGCCAACACATCTTGGAAGGTTGAGTGGGTGTCAGATAAAGAAGTTACTTTTTAAGTGAAGGTGACATAAATGCATGTTTATGTGTGCATAGACACATTAGAGAAAGTATGTGTATCAGGTTGAAGAGTCACTGGAAATTACAGAAAGGGTAAAGGTAAGAGAAGATCAGATAAAGATCTGGGAGGCATCCAGAAAAGATGAGCTCTAAGAAAAGTCACCTTCAGTCAACCCTTCTTAGCGAAGAGAAGAAACACCCACTAAGGCAGAAGAGGTAGAAATATAGGAAATATAACAGGTCAAGTTCAAAAACACACTTTGCATATAGATAACATCTGTTTCTAAAACTGAGAACCATTAAACTATCTGGTCGGATGCAGATTTTGCAGGTGGACCCGGTAAAATAAAGTGTGATTAATGATCTCTTTCCCTAAATCAACGGATTGTTCTTTGTATAAGGGAAAAATTATGAAGGATGCAGATGGTCAAGAGCAACAATTCAGACTCAGACCCCTGAAATAAAACAGCTCAGAAGAAGGAAAACAAATTGAGGTCATGTTCATCCTTGCTAGAACGACATTTTCAGCACAGGTTGGAATATTATATGTGTACCATCCCCCCACCTCATTCAATGTCTTCCTTCATTTTTGTTTCAAACTTTCTTATTATAAAAAATTTCAGACTTAAATTTCAAGAAATCATGAACACATATATCCTTCCCTTAGATTAAAAAAGGTGAACATTTCTGCTTTAATTGCAAATATGATGTGTATGTGTTTGTATCTCTGTATAAATTTATTTCTGAACCATTTGAAACTGGGTTACATATCATATTTAACACAAAATATGTGAGCAAGCATTTCCTAGACTAGGAACAATCATTTTAGCTTTGATATCTTTATCAAACCCAGAAATATCAAATATACATTGATATCATCCAATGTCCAGGCTACACATCCCAAATCGAGCAACAAATCCTTTCCTGATTGGCTCTTTCAAACTAGAATCCAATCAAGAATCACGCACTGCATTTAATTGTTTGCATCTTTTGTTAATTTTTAATACAATGGAACAAACCAAATATTGCTCTTGGATCACAATTACTTGGGCATAATATAGAGTCTTGAATAGCAGCCTTATGAAAAACAACCATATTCCTGACTTACTGTTTCTCATGGTATTATTTAACATGTACCTGTGTCTACTGTAATTGGGAATCTAAATTAAGATCTTTTGTGTGTGTGTGGTATGGGGAATTGAATCCAGATGTGCCCTACCATTAAGATGCATCCCCAGACTTTTTTTGTTTTTCATTTTGAGACAGAGTCTCACTGAGTTGCCCAGGCTGGCCTTGAACTTGGGATCCTCCCGCCTCAGCCTCCTAAGTGAATGAGATTACAGGCATGCACCACCACGCCCAGCAAAACTAAGGTCTTGATTAAACAAAGATGTAACATTTTAGGTAAGGGAGACCCAAGGCAGTGCTGTTGCTTTATATGGCATTAGATCAGCAAGCAGACAATTCAAGCCATCCACTGTCACTTTGGCATGGCTTGATGACAGTTCTCTATATCAAAGGACAATTCACTCTTGTAAAAGAGCCAATAATCTGTAGGGTGTTAGGCCTCCTCCAAACATTATAATTCATAACAACCTTTCATCTAATGATTCCAAAATTCATTGATGATTCTGCCTGTAATCAATTATTTCAGGATGACAAAATGGCAGTTTCTACGGGTACTATCCCTTCCACATTTATTTAGTTGGCAATCTTTTCAGTACAACAGTTCTTTCTTTAAATGACATTGTGCATCCAGGCATGATGGTGCACTCTTATAATTCCAGTGACTCGGGAGACTGAGGCAGGAGGATGTCACAGGAGGATGGCAAGTTCGAGGCCAGCCTGGGCCACTTTTTGAGACCCTATCTCAAAATAAAAAAAAATTAAAGAGGCTGGGGATATAGCTCAGTAGTAAAGTGCCTCTGGGTTCAATCCCCAGCACCACAAAAAAAAAAGACACTGTAGAAATGATAAATGTTTGAGGAGATGGAAATGCTAATTAACCTGATATGATCATTACACACAACATATACTTGTATCAAATTTTTATACTATATTCCATAGATAGATATGGACATCATGTGTTGATTAAAATTTTGAAACAGGAAAATAAAGCAATGTGGTAGTCATTTGGACTATTCACCCATATCCTGTTCTGACTTGTTTTATTTCTTTCTAAGTATATGATGAGTGAATTAGTCAGCTTTTGCTTCAGTGACAAACAATCCAAAATCTTAGTGTCTCATACAAACAAACATTTCTTGCTCACAGGTCTGTGACTTTGATGGCTTAGCTGTGGCTCTGCATCAGACATTGCATGTCTCTCAAACCACAACTCTGAAAAAAGAAGCAATGGCTCCCAGGAGTCTGCTCTTTTCTTACTGGAGAGCAGAAGAGTGCAAAGAGAGACTGAAGGTATAAGATGTCTGTTAAAACCTCTTCTGGGGACCAGCATGCTGACACTTCCACCCACACTGCATTGGACAAAGCGAATCACAAAATCAGTAAAGGGAGAAAGTGTACTTCACCCTTGGGCAAGAGCAGAAGAGAAAGCTATTTCCTAAATTTGGCAATGGTGACGTAACTTGCTTGGGCCTGTGAAACTTGAGCAGACTTGTGGTGTGTTTTCTAGCACCTTCCTTTCCCTTGCCACAGTGACCAACAGCATCCGACATTATTCTCTTGTCACTTTGCATCCCTAAGCAAGGAAGACGTGGGTCAGAAA